GCCCCCCCCCCCCCCCCAGGCCGGGTACCAGGAGCAGAGGGTGGGGCTCTCCGGGCTTTAGGTCACCACCCCGGCCCGGTGCTGTGGCCCTCTGTGCAGTGCATCCTCACCAGATGTGCCCTGGCACAGTGCCATCGACCTCCCAGGGCTGACAACTGGGCGGGCTGTGTGTCCTTATCCTTGACACTTGGCCGCGGCCAGCCAGGCTTGTCCTGCATCGTCTCAAACACCACCCTGTGCTCTGGGCTGCACCGAGTGCTGCAGGCAAACAGGCCTTGGAGAAGACAGGAGCAGACGGGACACCGGCTCCTGGTGTGGACTGAGCCGCCTTACGTGGGCTCCGGGCATCTGGGAAGAGCACTTGGTGGGCCTTAGCCGTCTAGCCCCACATCTGGGTGACTCGCATGGGCATGTTGCCGAGTCCTGGTCGAGGGCAGCACCAGGGTGGGGGCTGCTCGGAGCTGCCAGGCCCAGCAAAGGCACCTGTGCCCTGGCCCCGGCACCCGCCCTGAGCGTTCTCACCCCCAGGTCTGTCCATGCGGCTGCTGGAGTCGAAGAAAGGCCTTTCCTTCTTTGCGTTTGAGCACAGTGAGGAGTACCAGCAGGCGCAGCACAAGTTCCTGATGGCCGTGGAGTCCATGGAGCCAAACAATATTGTGGTGCGTGGCCTTTGCAGCCCATCTGACCGGGCAGTGTGGCCCCTCTGTACCGAGTCCCGACGCCCTGGTGATCGGGGAGGTCCTGAGGCCAGTCCGCTGCTCTCCAGCCAGGGAGGACGTGGTGAGGCACTCCTAGGGTAGGCTGTCCATCTTGTGCGTCACTTGGGCCTATGTCCTCCTCTTACAAATCTCAAGGGTGCCCCAGAGTCCCACGATCCCAGTCTGCTCAGTGCTCAGGCCAGTCAGTCTGCTGTCACAGCAGGGCGGGTGCACCCCGGGGGCTGTGGTGCAGGCAGCGTGCCCCTCCCGGCTGCCTTCCCACTGCCCTCCTTTGGGCACCTGGGGTCAGGGTGGTGCCAGCGCAGCTGCGCCGTTGCAGGCTCCCACTTCGAGTCAGATCGGCAGCAGCGCATGCAGGCGAGGGGTGAGGCATGACTGTCATGTCAGCAGTCGTTCCCAGACCAAGTGCCTGAGAACCCTGAGAGGACTGTGTGTCCAGGGCCCTGCCTCTCCTCAGGTAGCCATCCCACCCAGGGCTTTGCTGAGCCCTCCTCCAGGCCTGTCCTCCTTTCCGGCAGGTTCTGCTCCAGACGAGCCCCTACCACGTTGACTCACTCCTGCAGCTCAGCGACGCCTGCCGGTTTCAGGAGGATCAGGAGATGGCCCGGGACCTCATAGGTGAGAGCCTGTGCCCAGGGCCCCTGCTGGCCCTGCAGAGCCGCCACCCCCAGCACGGAGGCACCTCAAGCTAACAGGCATAGATGCTGGTTTGTTTGGGGTCTTTTGAGAAGTTTTTGCCTTAGGCACATGCGCTCACTAGAGAGAGTGAGAGAGGGAGGGAGAAATCAGCCCCCAGGAGATGGCCACACTGCAGTCCCTTCTCCATTCTCCTCCCGGATCGTGGGCACGCACGCATGCACCCAATGTGATTTTCAAGCCACGGGGTCCAGGACTCAAATCACCATTGGCCATGTGGGAGTCCAACAACGTAACCACTGCTGATCCCAAGATGCTTTTTTATTTTTTAAGAATTATTTTATTTAACTTTATTTATTTATTATTATTATTATCTTCCAGTTTGATCAGAGAGAGAGGGAGAAAGTGAGAAGGCAAGGCACCAGGTCTAGGACTCAAACCTTGTTTGGCCATATGGGAGTCCAGCACCTTTAACCACCTGCCACCTGCTGCCCCCACCAAGATGCTGTTTTATTATAAAAGGACAAATGGATTTGCCAAGGCATGTTTAAAGCAAAATTTATAGGGACCAGCAATTGGCATAATGCCTATATCGCTGAACTCCCTTATAGTTGACCACAATTCGAGTCCTGGACCTGGTGTCTTAAACTCACACTGGGTGCAGGTGCATGTGTGCCCAAGATCCTGAGAGGAAAATGAAGGAGAAAGGATTGTGGTGTGGCCATCTACCCGGAGGGTGATTTCTCGCTTTCTGTCTCTGGTGAGCACACATACCCTATAGCAAAAACTTTTCCAAAAAAAAGGTAGAATTTATAGATAGGCTGAGTTGAACATACCTAATTTCCGAATCTAAGGTCCAGAATTTGAAACTTTTCGAGGGCCAGCATTACGTCACAGTGGAGAATCCCACAGCTGACCTCTCATGGCCAGTCCCAGCCACCACGCAGGCACTGCACCCAGTGGAGCCCACGCCCGTCAGCCACGATGTGCCTTTTCCACACACGTCCAAGCTCCCCACACTAACACTCACCCGCAGAGGGCTTCATGCAAAGTCATCTGACCTCTGTGGCGTCACCTCCCGGCTGCGGCGTAGGGCGTGTATGGGACACACGCGAATTCGTGTAGCTTACCCGTCCCCAAGTTAGCTTGTACTGTGTGTGCAGATAGCCCAAGGCCTGGAAATTGGAAGTCAGAAACACTTGTGGTTCGAGCATCTTGGATAAGGGGTGCCCGCCTGTGCCGCACAGCCCCCTGCGTTTAAAGCACGCGGCCCGGCCCGTTGGTGCACAGCGTGCCTGCGCAGACGCCACCACCACCCTGTTTCAGCACGTTCTCCTCCCCGGCCTCCCTCGCGGTTCCTAAGTCTGGGCCCCTCATCTGCTCTGTCTGGACACTCCACGTGACGGGAACCCCTGAGCAGGCTCTGTGCGGCTTCTCTGCATGAGCAGCACGCTTCCAGGCTCGTCCTTGCCGTCCACGGCCACGTCAGACCCCCACTTCCTCATGCCCAGCACTCGCCCTCAGGTAGACCACGCCTGTGTGTCCAGCATCAGCTGATAGACATCTGGGCTGTTTCCATTTGGGCTGCCGTGGACACGCATGTGCAGGTCCCATGTGCATGCATGTTTGTGTCACACATGCTGGTGTCCCCGGGGCAGCATCAGTCGTCCCACCTTGTGGTGTTGGAGCCATTTCTGCCTCGGCCTGTGGTGCTGTGGCCAAGGCCACGTTGGGTGTTGGGTCTGGGCCTTGGTCTCCAGGAACCCAGTTACGTGACCTCCTGCCTTCCAGGCTGGGCTGCCTGCCGTCGGGGGTGTAGCCTACGGCAGCCGTGACGCCCTGCCGGTGTGTGTCCACAGAGAGGGCCCTGTACAGCATGGAGTGTGCCTTCCACCCCCTGTTCAGCCTCACCAGCGGGACGTGCCGTCTGGATTACCGCAGACCTGAGAACAGGTGAGTGCTGCCCCCAGGAGGTGTCGGGGGCAGTGGCCTGGCCGCAGTGCTCTCTCCTGCCCTCCAGTGAGGGAGGGTGTGGCGGGTGCATTTGGTGACGCATGGTGACACATGGCTGTCCTCGAGCGCGGGCCCAGCGCTCACGGACGTGAGGGCTGTGCTTACCGACAGGGAGCGTATTGCCCGGGCTGAATCTGTGCCTGTAGGAAGTCAGACTGCCGTACCCAGCAAGTGGCTGGTGGTTAAGGCACTGACTCCCATGTGGCTGACTGCGGTTCAAATCCCAGACCTGGCATCTGTAGTCACTTGGTGCATGTATGCCCGTGTCCAAGATCCCAGGAGGAGGATGGGGAGGAGGATTGCTGTGTGGCTATGCCCTGGGGTGATTTCTCACTTTCCCTCTCATTGTCTTTCTCTGTCTCTCTCTGGTGAGCACACACACCCCATGGCTTAAATCTTAAAAAAAATGAAATCAGCCTGCCGAGCAGTGTGACCATGGTGGGCCTGCGCTTGGTCTCCTGTGTGTGGGGATAAAGGGTCTGTCCCCACAAGCTCAGGGCACTCTTCCTGGGTGTCAGAGCACTCTGTGTCAGCTGCTTCCCCAGCCCTGGGGTGCCTTTTGGCATCGACCATCCGGCCTGGTCAGCAGGTGCTACTGTGGCCACAGCCCTCCTGTCCCGGAGCCTCAGGCTGTGTGG